TCCCTCCCATGCCCCCCTCTACTGTTCTCTTCTGTTCACAAAAATAATCTTTTAAGAAACCTCCACCTGAAAACAAAACAAAACATCCTTTTCATCATTTCCCTGCACACTAAAAACAAACAGCTCTCTCTCTCTCTTTCTCTCTCTCTCATTTTTCTTGAAATGATCTTTCTCTCATTCTAGAACATAAGCTCTCTTTCTTTATTTATTTGCATGGCTATAAACACTATAATGAAAAATAAAACTTATAATGTTGTCAATAGTGAGGGGAGTGGCGGGGACGGAAATTCTTCTAGTCCACCATCGTCGCCACGGCGTCAGACAAGCGGCTTCTCTCAATGTCGTCGGCGGCTCCGCTCGAAGGTTCAGTTGCAGTACTTTCGCAAAGACAGTTTGGCTGCCGGGATTTTTGTACGGCGGAACATACAGTTCCTCCTGCTCTTGTTCTTTCTCTACTTTTCTGGTTTGATGATGTGTGTAGGCCGGTTCTCGGATTTCTTGCGTCACTCTCGTGAGCCTACTGCGATCTATAAAAGCCATGTCTTGTTGGAGAAGCTTTGGCATGATATCGAAACTGATAATTCTACTGCTCTCGAGGTTAATTTTTTTTTTGTTAACTTCTGTTTTTGCGTTGTTTAATTTTTATTTTCTGTTTGGTTGTTGAGCAAAAGTGGAAAAAGGAAAAGTAAAGGAAGGGAAAAAAAAGAAAGAAGTAAAGCTTGCAACCACCGAATTACTACGTGGGGCCGAAACAGAAAAATTGTTGAAGAAAAACTCAAAGGTCTAAAGAGAGCGGGGCTAATTTAATCATGATCGAGGCATTATTAATTTTTGGGAGGTTTTTGATTATTAATAAAGTGAATTACTAAGTTTTAACAAGGGGTTTTGCCATATAGCCAAATTAATGATATATAGTTTTTTAAATTTATTTTTTTCCAATTAAACAATAATTTTTAATATTTTTTTTGCAGTTATCTTCTGTATGGCAATTCAAAAGGAGAATGAAAGTGCAGAAACCTTGTCCCGTGTTAGCTACTAGACGGCGTTTGGGCTCAGTCGAAGGTAGTTGTTATTGTTGCTGAGAATTTTCAGTTTAATAAACAACCCTTTGCCTTTCTCTTGGGCACGAGTCCCTTCTGTTTCAAAGATAATGTCGGCATGCTAATCAGCGCTAAGGGTAAAAATTAACTGAGTTTTTAAGAAGCCAAACTGATATTTTGTATTTTCAAGTGCAGTGTCGTCTGGTCCCGCCGGGTACTTAATCGTGGAGGCAAATGGTGGTCTTAACCAACAGCGCTCTGCGGTATGTTATTTATTATCCTATTTACTGCTTTCCATTTCCGGGTGTCATTGTAGGATAAGCCTGCACTCATGTGCCACTCATGTCTTGTTGTAGATCTGCAATGCAGTTGCTGTAGCTGGAATTTTGAATGCAGTACTGGTCATCCCCAGTTTTGGTTACAACAGTGTCTGGAAGGATCCAAGGTCAGCTGCTGAATTATTCCCTCTTCTTTATATATATAAAAAAATAATCCTTGACCAGGTTTTAAATTTCAAACGTGGTGGGATGTTATTAAGGTCTCTCTGGCTACTGTAATGACCATCTAATTATCTAAATGCACCCATCCCTAGTTTTCGTTGCAACAGTGTCTGGAATGATCCAAGGTGAGCTGCTGAATTATTCCCTCCTTTTTATAAAAAAATAAAAATAAAAATTCATTGACCAGGTTTTAAATTTCAAACGTGGTGGGTTGTTATTAAGGTCTCTCTGGCTACTGTAATGATCATCTAATTATCTAAATGCACTCGTGAATTTAAAGAAGTCGTGTTAGTGTAACCTGAGAGTGCTTCAGAGATAGTGTAGAACTTTAATTGAGACTGAAACACGTAAATATATTTGAATTTTCTGAGAGAGGTGCCTCCATTTTTCAGGGTTTTGCCTATAAGAGTAACAGTTAATCCAAGCATGACATCTGAAAGACGTGATCACATACTGATCTTGTCATTATCATTTTCTTTTAATTTGAGACAAGATGGTAGTGGGTGCTTGCCATAAAAACCTTCAGGCTTGATGTTGCAATCATTTCAATATTTATGTCTGTCTAGATTGATGGATGTGTCGATGTTGATTACACCATGCATGTCGTGATGCAAACGCAAAAGCAGTTTTTTGGGTATTTAATTTCTTCTAGTCTGTGGATGAACCCGATCGACATGTGTATGTAAACAAGTATAACCAACTATTTTTTTGGAGCAAATTTGAGGTTCTTGGTTCAGATGGGGAAACTAACAATGGTAATAGACCCCATTATTTGTATTTGGAAACTTGCGAAAAGTGCACCAGGACAATGAGTTCCACCCCTGAATTCTGTTGCTTTCAGTGATTTTCTTTTAAAACTGAATCTTTCATGAACAAATCAATTATAGCTAAAGATTCATTTGTTTGACAGTGAGTTCAGAGACATATATGATGAAGATCATTTTATAGCCACACTTGAGGGTTATGTGAAAGTGGTTAAAGAGTTGCCTGATGAGTTGATATCAAAATATGACCACAATATTACTAATATTCCACACCTCCGTGTTGAAGCATGGGCTCCTGCTAAACATTATTTAGGAGAAGTTTATCCTGTCCTGCAAGAGCAAGGGTACGTGATGAAGCATTCTTTCCTGTTCTTTCTTTTCCTTTTACTATCATTTATTTCTTCCCTCAATTAGAACGTATCTTTATGAAGGAAAATGACTAATCTGTTAGCTGCTAATTTGTCCCAGCTATCATGATTTCTGCATTTACTACTTTCTAACCAGATATCTGTTGAAACACGCATCTAGCTTGTTTTTGACTATTCACTCCTTTCAAAACAGGGTCATCCGCATTGCACCCTTTGCCAATAGATTGGCAATGAATGTCCCATCTCACATTCAATTGCTTAGGTGCATAACAAATTACAGAGCATTGAGGTTCTCTGCTCCTATAACAACCCTAGCACAGAAATTGGTAAACCGAATGATTGAAAGGAGCTCAATGACTGGTGGAAAATATGTGTCCATTCACCTTCGATTTGAGGAGGTATTAAAGCTCATATATTATTCTATTCTAAGCAAGGTTTCTGTTCCTTGAAATATTTTATGTTGAGCGTGCTGAGGATCCTATTTCATTTAACGATAAACATATCCGTCCTTATCTTTTAGGACATGGTGGCCTTCTCGTGCTGTTTGTATGATGGAGGGGATGCTGAAAAGTCTGAAATGCATTCATTTCGGGAAAAAGGGTGGAAGGGGAAGTTCAAAAGAAAAGATCTCGACTTCGTAGCTGGTCGTAATCGTATAGATGGAAAATGCCCTCTAACACCCTTGGAGGTACCCCATTTATCTAACTCTTTTAGCATTTTTCATTTGAGCTCTTTGTAGAGCTCTTCTTTTCATAAAATGGCTGCTATAATGAGTTGCGGCCTTAACACAAATTTCCATGGTCTTCAACTTGCCCGTATAGCATCCTAAATTAAATAGAATGACCTTGAATAGTGCTTGAGAGCTTTTCTCTGAGTTCCTACTTCCTAGTACATTCTATGTTCTCTGGTTTGTTTTGTTTTGTGCAACATTTTCATTACTGTTTAAAAACTGAAAAAAAGATTGTTGCATTGTGCTATAATACAAAACAAAATTCTTGCAGTTTTGATAATAACTCTTAATTCAATCTGGTGTTGTTGGCACACTATCTTTCAAATAACCTTATTTGTTTTCATCCTCGTGATCTAATTTGGCCAGTAATCACTCTTTTTATTTGTACATGATGTTTTTCCTGTCAGCATAGGTTGGGATGATGCTGCGTGGCATGGGGTTTGGTAGCCACACTTCAATTTATTTAGCCTCAGGGAAAATTTACAAAGGAGAACAACATTTAGCTCCTTTATTGAAGATGTTTCCCCTTCTTTACACCAAGGAGTCACTTGCAACCTCTGACGAGCTTGCGCCGTTTCAGGTAAATCCTAAATGCTCACTATACCTCTCTTGCATTGTGTGGTTGAAGGAGTTTGTTGGATGAGGATGTTTTTGAAAATTGATTGAAATGCTTTACGGATTACCCAAACCATATATGTCTACAACATGCGCCACTTTCCCATCCCTGCTTCACTTACAAGCCATGTTTTATCTGAGCTTCTGCCAACAAGTTTGGAAGGCATTTTTTTAGACGAGGGATTCTGAGCAGTATACTTGATACTCTGCTCCAAGTGTTATTTGTTATTTGGTCCCTATAATTTAACAAAAAAACCAATCAATCCTCATGGTTTCGAAAACTATATATTTAATTTCTCTGTCTACATTTTTAAATTCGTTTGTAACTTAATCTTTTCATCAATTTCTTGCTTTTTTCCAAAGTTATTTTTTTTTTAACAATATAAAAATTAAAATACAAGTAGGCAATATGAGTTTTTTAATTCTTGAGACATTTTTGGAACAAGAAACTACTAAATTGAGGATGTTTACTGTTGATTAAGAGACTTTTCAATTATCTTCAGTGACTAATTAATTAGGTTTTATAAAGTACAGGGATCTAGTTAACTCAATTTTTAAAGTTTCTACGACTTCAATAGGATTTTGCAATGTCCATGGATTAATTCAATTGAATGATGCTGAATAGATTGCTATGTTGATTGTGTCTGTAGACAGTGAGTTTATTTTTTTCAGCTTCTTGGGCTTGAATATGAACATTATACAAAATGATTCTGAATATAGAAACAAACCCATATAAAAAGCTGAATACGTCTTGACTGCTATGCACGTGCTTATTTTTCAATCTGACCCAGAAGCTTATTCTACTAACTTGCTAAAACACCTATTTTCTATGATTGCAGGGCTACTCTTCGAGGCTGGCAGCTTTGGACTACACTGTATGCTTGTTCAGTGAGGTTTTTGTGACATCTCACGGTGGAAACTTTCCACATTTTCTGATGGGTCACCGTAGATTTCTTTTTAATGGGCATGCAAAGACCATAAGGCCTGATAAACGCATCCTTGTTGGTCTACTAGAGAACATGACAATCAGGTATTTTCTCCATCAACTGTATCATTCCTCTTCGTTTACATGATTACATCCTTGTGTTTAGTGGAACTGAGTTAAAAGGTGATGTTAAAATTTTTGGATTTGCAATCTGCTACTGTCTGTGATTATTTGATTATGACATGATAAGGGTTCAGGGGAAAACGCTGACCGATAAAATGTCCTGTGGTTGCCATTTGGCATGTTCTATCATCTAGCAGTTAGTATATTCAACCAATGAAATTGCTCCAGAGATTGTATTTCTCGATTATTTCACCACAAGCTTAGTAAGCAAGAATTTGAAAATCGTTGTAGAAGGATATATTATGAAGGACGTTGTTATAAGGATTTAAACTAACCAGAGAAGACCGATGGTAAAGTGGTTTTTGCTTTATGTATAGTTTAAAGCTAGAGTGCAAGATGCTATTGAGCTCTAGGACTTGGCAAAGGCCTAATGCAGAAAAAACCATGTATCATTAGTTGATGATGGAATGTTTACTCGTTGGATTTGCAGCTGGAAGGACTTTAAGGATGACATGGAAGCGATGCTCCTTGAAAGTGATCGCAAGGGAATGATGATTCCAAGAGTCAGAAAATTCAACAGAAAGAATTCGATCTACGCGTTCCCGTTGCCAGAATGTGACTGTCTCCAATCACATGACTCGCGCGGGATAAACCATACTCTTAATGTTCTTGATCCTCAACTTGAGCCCACAAGAGGAAGAATTCCAGTCTCAGATTAGCTCTCATCTCATGTATAATAATCCATCGATGCTTTTATAGTATATGCAGCTTCAGCGGTCTTCCAGCAGTTCTGCCCGTTCTCGTGGATTGTTACATTTTTCATGTGGAGAGATGTGTGGATTCCGATTTTTTCAATCGAGGAATTCTTTTCGATGTAAATTAAAGTTTTGTAAATATATTTCAGACTTGTCATCACAAAAGACCTGCTAAACAGAAGATATTCAATAAAAACTTTAATAGTTTATACATGTTAAGCATATAAAAGTATAATTAATTACAAACATGCATTCAATATAAAAATAATAGTAGAATACTACCTTAGTAAAAACTTTTAATATACATAATAATAATAATAATAAATAAAAATTAATTATGTCTAAATTAAATCATAAAAGATATTTATTTATTGAAGTATATATGAATTTTTGTTGTTATTAATGATTAATTTTTTATTTTTGAAGGTTTTATTGTTTATTATTTGTGCATCTAGAATATTTGTAATGTATATTTTAAAATTCTAATATCTTGATATTAGTTTAGATGCGTTTCTAATGTGTGTTATAAATTATATAACTTTAAATGTTTCTCAATAAGTTGAATATAAACTTTAGATTTAAAAGAAAAGTTAAAAAAAAACACTAAAAATAAGGTGAGCAAGTAAATCTGAAAAATTTAAGTATAAATTTTATTTTTCAATCTAATTTGTTTTTAATTTTGTTATAGTGATTTTAAAAAATTAATTCTCACTATTATCAATTAATTATTTAATTAATTAGTATAAATCAAGAATTAAATTAAAAAAATAAATTTTTTAAATAGTTTTTTTATTTATCTATAATTTTAATTAATCAAAATAAATTACCAACACAGATATACCTTTTACACAAAAAGTTTTTTTTTTTTGGCTGCCACGAGTGGATGGTTGGGTTTTGGCTACATTAGATTTTCATCATGCAGGTGTAAGCATGGCGTGGCATGGCATAGCATTTGGTGTTGTTGGTGGTGTAAATGCGGAATGATACAAAAATCTCATAAAGCCAATCCTAACCAGTCTCGAGCTGGGGCTTGGTTTTTATTGCTATTGGTGGTGTTAATGCCCTATCTACCTATGGGCTGATCTTATCTGCCGAGTAATTTTATACTGTACAACGAGAAACTTGCGGTCCGCTTTAAAAAAAAGGAATACTTCGAATAAATAAATAAACACGGTAGAAATGTTTTTTTTTTTTTTGTCATTGTCATGGATTTTATTTTTTATTTTTACTTGTGTCTATTTTTTTTATTTCAAAATAAATCTGTGACGAACTAATAATATTATATCACCATCACCATCATCTCAATTTCCTTTTCTTTTTATGAAAATCAGTCGGCAACTATCATATATTTTATATATGTTCTTGGCTGTATATAATTTGGCTATTGGTAACATCCATCTGTTAACATCTCTGACATGGAAATTCTGAAAAAAACATATTCGAGATTGAAGTTTATTTGCTGGCAGAACAGTGTAAAAAAGCCTTGATTTCTTTCGTTTCTTGTTTTTCTCTTCCCAGCATAGAAAAATCTATTTCTTGTAGATTCTGTTATATTTTACTCTGACGCCTATCCTAAAATAGGATATGATTTTTTCCCGAGGTCAACCTGAGAACTTCAAGGAATATGAGTGTGTTTGTTTACTTGTAATTACATTTTAATTAAAATATATTTTATAATTATTTTAAAAAAAATAATTTATTGTGTATAAATTTCATATAATTTTTGTTATTAAAAAACAAGGAAATCCACTTTTCTTACACCATTTATGTTAATTGTACTGTTTAATAAACAGTGCAATAATTGTATTGTTCACTTAAAAATAATGAATAGTGCAATTCACTTGTACTCTTCATGCACGTTTTTTTTAATTTTATTAATATATTTTTTTTAAAAAATCTAGTTTAAAGTGTATTAAATTTATTTGTATTGTGATGTGAATAATATTTTTTCTAAAAAAATAATATAAGATGAATTAAATTCACCCACACTGTAATATTAGTTTTATACCTAATAATATTTTATCTAATTTTATTACATACTCAAAAAATTATAAAAATTATAGTTCTTATCGGGTAAATTTTGTACGTAATGAAATTATAAATAATTTAATGAAATAATAAAAAATATTTTATAAAAAATATTATTTATTTCATGATATAATAGGAGTAATTAATTCTACAATATTTAAATTTAAAACCATCAATATTAATATGTATTTTTAAATATTATTAATTAAACAGATTAAATTATTTTTTTTTCGACCTCAATTTCAACCACAATTTTAACTAAACACATATTTTTTTAAACCAACTTTGATTAAAAGTATTTTTATAAAATAACTTTTTTTAAACCATAATTACAACAATTATGGCAATATTAAATGCAATCTAAGTACTCATTTGTTATTAAATAACTATGAAAATAAATGGTAATGGATAGCTTACTGCTGAGTCTTTTTGGATTTTTAAGAATATTTAAAAGGGTGGTAATGATTATATTTTAAAATATTTTTTATTTAAAAAAATACATCAATAATATATATTTTTAAAAAAAATTATTTTTAAAATTAGCATATCAAAATAATTTAAAAATATAAAAAATATTAATTTCTTTAAAAAGTATTTTTTAAACATAATATCAAACAGATAATCTTTGCAAAATACTGTTGATGCATTGAGTGGAAAAGATGGAGTTAATAATTACTTATTTCTTCCAGTTCAACAAAACTAACTAATTAGTTTCCACAGTTTGCAAAACTATATATTTTCATGTATAATTTAATTTTTCCGTACATTCCATTTTTTTAAGAATTAGAGAAAGATAAAAAGAAGTAGATACGATCGAATGATTGAGGAGAAAAAAAAGTTATTTTTTTGGAGTAAAATGCGTATATATATATATATATATATTGTTAATTCCATCCAATTTCATTACACTGCACGCTAAGTATCAAAGATACGTGCATTAGGCATATAAAAATTTAATGTGAAAATTTTAAATACGATAAAAAGTAAAAAGTATGAATTCGGATGTTAAAACAATTAAAATTGTAGAAAAAAAGCATATACTTTACTTGATAATTTTAATTTTAATTATTTAATAATTATTTAATCTCTAACTTTACGAATTGAACTTTTTTCCCGAGTAGAAAACAAAGAGCGTATATTTTTCCCAATAGTTGTGATTTATTTCTTAGATTTTTCTCAACTCCTAACTTTACCCAAAAAGGTAATGTTTACCTGGTAATTTTAATTTAATTACTAATATTTGATTAATTTTTTTAATTTCCAGATTTTAGAAATCTAACCTGTTCCCAAGTAGAAGACATATTTAATTTCCAGATATTTTTTTTAATTTTTAGTATTTTATTAACCCCTACTGTACACAAAAAAGGCAATGTTTATCTGGTAAGTTTAATTTAATTACTAATATTTGATTAATGTTTTTACTTTCCAAGATCTTTTTCATACGATCTTGATTTATTTATCTAATATTCACATTTGGATTTTCTCTTTTGATTTTTTGATATCTTTAAAACTTTCACCTTTAATTTTCTATCTAATGTGTAGATCTTGGATATGTGACATCCAAAATAGCAAAATTGGATAAAATGATGGAAATCATAGCTATAGAATTCATATAAAAATATTATGAAATAGATACTTGTTTGGTATAGGAAGTATAAAACATTGGCATATTTTATGCATAAACTCAGTGTTTTTATAAATTCTACTTATGAAGGTTTTTATCATTCCATGGCTATCTATGACACGTGTAATGAACTCCCAGCTATGTAGCTTCCTCGAACAGCTCACGAGCTTATTAACCTTTGTAGATAATGAAAATGGACTTGAAGCATATAGTTGCAGCTATACGCCATTGTGGGCGAGTCAAAGCTCTCAAGCAAGGCAAATCATTTCATTCTCAGTTGATCAAAACTGGGTATTCTCATAATGTCTACATAGCCTGCAATTTGGTGTCTATGTATGCGGACTTCACATTATTAATCGACGCATATAAACTGTTTGATGAAATGCCTGTAAAAAACATCGTCTCCTGGACCACTATGGTTTCTGCGTATACCAGCAATGGAAAGCCTCGTGAAGCAATAAAGCTATATACCCGGATGTTAGATTCTAAATCAGAAGTCCCTAATGGGTTTATGTACTCTGTGGTTTTGAAAGCGTGTGGTCTTGTAGGTGAGATTGAGCTGGGTAGACTGATTCATAAAAGATTTTCTAGAGAGAATTTAGATAACGATATTGTTTTGTTGAATGCTCTTTTGGATATGTATGTTAAATGCGGATGCTTGAGTGATGCAAGAAAAGTTTTCGATAGGATCTTTTTAAGGGCGAATTCCACTTCCTGGAATACAATGATTTCAGGGTATTTTAAGGAAGGTTTGGTGGAGGAGGCTGTTAATTTGTTCAATGAAATGCCGGACAGAAATGTTGTTTCTTGGAATACTATTATTGCTGGTCTTGCAGAAAATGGGAGTTCGCGTGCATTACATTATGTTTGTAAGATGCACCGGGAAGGGATTAAGCTTGATAAATTTACTTTTCCATGTGCTCTTAAGACATGTAGTCATGCTGGTTTCTTAGTTGCAGGTAAACAGATTCACTGTTATGTTTTAAAGTCTGGTTTGGAGTCTAATTGCTTCGCTGTGTCAGCGCTGGTGGATATGTATTCAAATTGCAACGGCTTAGATGATGCTATAAGGCTGTTTGATCAATACTCAGGAGGTACTGGTTCAATCTGTGATAGCTTAGTACTCTGGAATTCTATGCTTTCAGGGTATGTTGTTCATGAGAAAAATAGAGCTGCTGTTAATATGATTGCACAAATCCATCATTCTGGTGCTTCTGTTGACTCTTACACCCTGAGTAGTGCTTTGAAGGTCTGCATCACCTTGCTCAATGTGAGACTTGGGATTCAAGTTCATGCTTTGATTGTTATCAGTGGGAACGAGTTAGATTATGTTGTTGGAAGCATCCTTGTAGACCTCTATGCAAAACTGGGGAATATGAAAGATGCTTTTCAACTGTTTCATAGGCTTCCCAAGAAAGATATTTTAGCTTGGTCTGGTTTGCTGATGGGATGCGCTGAGATGGAATTGAACTCCTTAGCTTTGTCAGTGTTTAGAGATATGGTTACATTTGGTGTTGAAGTAGATCAGTATATTGTTTCTAATGTTCTGAAAGTTTGTTCTAGATTGGCATCTATTGGAACCGGTAAACAGCTACATGCTTTTTGTATCAAGAGAGGATATGAAACAGAACAGGTCACCATCACAGCCCTCATTGACATGTATTCAAAATGTGGTGAAGTAGAAGATGGTTTGGTTTTGTTTGGTTGTGTTGCAGATAGGGATGTTGTATGCTGGACAGGGATCATTGTGGGGTGTGCGCAGAATGGAAGGGCAAATGAAGCTCTTGAAATTTTCCGACAGATGGTACAATCAGGGTTAAAGCCAAATGAAGTCACTTATCTAGGTGTCCTTACTGCATGTAGGCATGCTGGTTTGGTTGTAGAGGCACAGACCATATTTGGGACCATGAAATGTGATCACAGACTTGAACCTCAACTAGAACATTATTATTGCATGGTTGATCTTCTATGTCAAGCTGGATGCTTCAAAGAGGTAGAGAAGTTAATTGCTGAGATGCCATTTAAACCTGACAGAACCATATGGAGCTCGATGCTTGGGGCCTGTGGGACTCACAGGAATACTGGATTGGTCAGTACCATTGCTGAGAACCTTCTTGCTAATTGTCCAAATGACCCTTCGATTTATGTTATGCTTTCAAATGCTTATGGAACTTTGGGAATGTGGGATAATCTAAGCCAAGTGAGGGAAGCTGCTAAAAAGTTGGGTGTTAAAGCAGCTGGAACGAGCTGGATTGAGATTTCAAGTTAAGATACGTTGGTCATGGCATGGCATTAGTTAATCTTGCCTGAAGTTCAAGATTAAGTGATAGCACATTCACTGCTACTTATCTATTAGTCATTATGTGTCTGGGATGTCAGTGTAAGAGCATTTACCCGTGCTAAATAGTTGGGCTGGGTTGAAGAAAACCTGGGTTAATCTTGCCTGAAGTTCAAGATTAAGCGGTAAAACATTCACTGCTACTTATCTATTAGTCATTATGTGTCTGGGATGTCAGTGTAAGAGCATTTACCCGTGCTAAATAGTTGGGCTGGGTTGAAGAAAACCTGGAGATGCAGAAACATACAGCATGTATATTGCAGTCAGAAGGATCTCGATATGAAGGTAACTCCCAATCCACCTTCGGTTACCATGCTACATTTCAGTTTATTGTTATGGACCGTATGGTCACCAGATGCAGAAACATACAGCATGTATATTGCTGTCAGAAGCATCTCGATATGAAGGTCACTCCCAATCCACCTGCAGTTACCATGCTACATTTCAGTTTATTGGTATGGATCGTATGGTCACTAGCTTACTTTCATGCGTGAACATCTAGGAAAATTACAAGTTCTGTGTGCTTTCATCTTTGATAAGTTTTCCATAATTACAAGTTCTGTGTGCTTTCATCTTTCATAAGTTTTCCATCCTTTCATGATTTTTAACATGTTATGATAATCAGGAGCACATCAGATTGACTGTTCCAGGATGCCAATACAGATCACTTCCCGGAATTCAATTTACGAGACAAATTACAACTAATGTAAGTGTGTTATACATTGTGGATTTCCAGATGCAATAATAAATGATATTGACCAGTCAGCTTTTCTTATCGTTTTCTTTTTAACAACAGCGGAAAGAACTATGTTATTCTTCATCTTGTGTTTTACAGGGTAGGAAAGAGAGGAAGGAAATTGCAATAGAAGGGCCCAAGAAAGGAAGAAACGGAATAGAATTTTTTACAGTTTTGGCCTCTCTCAATTTGCTCCACTATTTGGAACACTGTTGAACTATAGAGGTCAGCCAAACAAACTGGTAGGTCCAAGCCTAATTTATTGCATATAGCATTCGTGAAAAAGTAGCTGCAATTGAGCAACGGTACGTTATAGTCCGTCTCCCTATTATGCGCAAGCCTTTGAATTTGCTAATTTATACACTCTCATCTCGCTCATGTCACTTCTATTTATGTCCTTTCCTTCTCTCCCTATTTACGACGAGACACGAATTAAATAACTAGCAATTAAAATGTGACAAACCAAGATCTTATGCGCGACTGTCAATGCAGGCTACATTACTAGGCCGGATAACAAATGCCCATGCATGCTGGGGGCATGATAGTGCCGACCCCCTAACCTTTGCGGTTCAAAGATAGTCTGCCATGACGTCGTAGGGAACCATTTGAGAATATGTTTGGTATTGCACTTTAACTGTATTTTAAAAAAAACTTTGAATTAATTTTTTTGTATATTTGTTTTTGGATAGTTTTGATATGATGATGATAAAAATAAATTTTTAAAAATTAAAAAAATTATATTAATATTTTTTTAAACAAAAAATATTTTAAAAAATAATTTATATCTTACTATCAAACATGCACTTCTTTTTCAAAGTAACTCTAGTGATTAGTGATGTTCGGTGGCATTATTATATTAGAGATAACAGTAAAAGATTTGGCCATTTAATTGTATTTGTATTGTCTACCAACTCAATTGTTATGAATTAATTATTTATAATTTATAATTTTTTATTTTAGTTCTTAATATTTTTTTGTATTTAATTTTTTTAAATAATGATTGTTTTTTAATTATTTTGTATGTATTTAGTTTTTGAAAAGATTGTTCAAATTCATCTATAACTTTTTTTATGTTTTATATAATTGAAATTTATTAATTAAAAAATATTTATTTTTGGATAGCATTTTTAATAAGTATAATCTTGCATGATGTTTTTTTTATTTAATCAATTTGGTGTGTATCTATTTATATATTTATTTGCTTAAATATAAAATTAATTTTAATAACTGGATATTGAATAAAACCCGGCAAATAATTAGTATTGCGAAATCTAATATTTTAATCTATATTTATCTCTCATATTTTTAGATATATATTTAGTTATTATTAATAAATTTTATTTATTTATTGACTCATATAATGTTTTATTTAATTAATTAAAATCATGCATAAATTTTTTTATTTACACTTAATGTTTTTTAATGTAAAAAAACTTTAGTGTTCAGTTTTTTTTTGGAAAAAAGAAAATACTTAACTCGGGTGTCAAATAGCTAGTGAAAGTCTATGACTAATCCTGCCACGTTAGCACGCCAGAAGAACTCATTGCTACAAATAAGCCGAAGGGTTGAAAATTTGAGATGACATTTGGTGGCCACTGGGCAGCACAGATCTCTCCATCGTTTACCCTTTCTTGGCCGTTTAATGGATAAGTGCAGACTTGAGAGGCAATCTTTTCCTTTGTGGCCCTGGGAGGATTTGCCAGGCTAAAATGTACATGTCAGATTAAGGATTGACCATGGCCAAACCCACGGGATTTGAAATACCTTCTCCACTCTCTCTGGCCATTCCTATTAGAAATTCTTTCTCTGGTTTTGCCTCGTATATATTTTACTTAAACTACGAGAAGTATGACATTGCATTTCCAGAAAATCGAAGGCTTCGGAGTTACAGTAGATGAAGTTCATTTTCACGTCCAGTGTTGGACATGAAGGCATGTCTTGCAGCTTGAAGACTGGTGTAATATCGCCTGCACAAAGTGCAACGCGGTAGTGTTCTGAGTCCATGCATTCGATGACAATGCACCTTGAATAGTTAAACCCTCTGTAAACAATTAGGCTCTGGTTGGTGGTGAAGTTTAATAGTAATCGGTGGTTACATCTCTAAATATGGGTGCATTCTTTCCAAGAATTTGATCACTTTCACTTTCAAAGTTGGCATGATTAAACAGAAAACAAAGGCTACTTCTCGCTTATATTATTACATCAATTTCTGGTGGGTAGGAGACAGTGCACAAAAACAGTGTACATTTAATGCCCCGTGTGGAGACTGACCAAGCTGTGCCCAACAAATTTTTTGTTTATAGTTGACCACGACCCCAAAGCGTGCGTTGCAAAATGCCAAAATCCCATAAAAAAGGAAATATCATTATCGAGTTTCATGGACATAACCAACTGAACAGAACAGAAAATACTACCCTAATTAATTCAATACAAGATGCTACTAGTTACGGGTTATGCCATATTAAAACCCTCTATAGATAACAACAAAACAAGGCAAAATTGCCCTGGGGTTAAACACATACAACTCGTCCAGATTAGAGTAAACCTCCATGCCAGCTGCTACTGAGTCATAATCCTCAATATTTCCCTCCATGCTCTTCTTAACCCTGCCAGCAATCACCCTGCAACCCAGCATTGCCCTCTTTTCGCTATCACCATTCCCATCCTCTAATGTTGTGGCTTTGTCATGTGCCTTTCCACTTGTCGCTGTTGTCAAAATCCCATGTCCATTATCATCTCCACCGGTGGGATCTTTGAAGCCATTCTTGATGATGCTACATACCTTACAGTTTGGAACTGAAATGCACAAACTAGATGATCCATTGAGGCCTACTGAGCACGCAAAGGTGGTGCAGTGAAACCTGAGGAGCTCATTGCCGTCTGCTATGCAACGTGGCTGTTTCTTGGGAAGCTTGGTGGCCTTGGCTTTGATGGAGTCTCTGTACTCTTCAAACTTAGAGATGGTTCTCTGGGTATTATGGACTTTGAGGATGCGATCTATTTTGCAAATGGGAGCCTGTTTCTTTAGCCAGCTTGAGTGGAATATGATTTCTACTATGTTCTTGCTTGTATCCTCCGGACTCAGTTCAGATACTGTGAAATTTGAACCAAAAATCGGGGAGTTAAGGACCTGTTTTAGTGTTTGGTAATGATGGGCATGCGATGACACGTGTGTAATGGGCATTGAAAAGTTAAAATTAGTCAAAAACTAGTATTGAAAAAATGCAGTCATTAGCAACCAATATATATTGGAATAAGAAAAACCATAAGGATGAAAATCAAATTCCTTGTCAAGAAAAAATATCATAAATCAAAATTATACTAATAGATAAGTAAATGTGAAAATAATAATTAAATGGTAGTTGATTGAATATGTATCAAAAGTTGTAGGGAATGATGGGCTACCTGCATGTCTAACAGCCTGATGAAGCTCTAGACTTTCAGCTTTCGTGAAAATCTCACCACATTCAGGGCAAGAACAAATGCTACCCCACAACGAATGGTCTCTGGCTATTCCAAAAACAGGATCCACTACCATTCTACATTCAGAGCAACCAGAGAATCTACTAAATGACATTCCTCTGAAATTAGAAGATGCAGAAAGTGAAGAATTGGTAGAGGAAACAACCCCATTGAGTTCATGTAAAGGAGCTTTCATGGGTCTACTTGAAGTGTCATTTTTACCAGCTGAGCCCGTTGAAGCCCCTTTCCTTTGGACTTCAGGGGAGGTTGTTTCAGGCCTGTGCATGACCTTTGTGTTGTTGCATATTGAGCCTGAACACCTCATTTTCTTGCATTTCTTGCTTGTTTCCTCCGCTGACCGGTCTTGACGTTGGTTTTGTTTTTTCTCCTTCTTCGGTTGCTGCAGCTGATCTTGCTTTTGTTGCTGTGGTTGCTTTTGTTCTGGCTGCTGCTGCTGTGCTTGGAGATGCTTGCAGCTAAAAAGGCCTCTTACAACTAACCATGAAGGTGGTTTTTCTGTTTTCAGGGGATGGTAGTTTTGATTCTGTTGGACTTCCTTGGTTGTTTTGGAGTTTTTCGGTTTGGCCATTGCCAGGTGATAGAATATTGAAGCTTGAGCTAACCCGCTGGCAAGGTGCGAAAACTAGTAGAGAAGCTAGGAGATCTATTTCTAGATTTTGGAGTTAATGGTGATCTTTGATATGCATGTGACGAACTGAATTTTATACTGAACTAATAGCCCTTTTTCACGACGGGAATCTGACCGTTCATTGCATGAAAGTTTCTTAGATCAGTGGCAGAAGTAAGAAATCTGGGTCCCTTATTAAACTACTATTTACTGCATGGGCTGTTGTTCTTTTTGTCCAGTAGGTTAGATCAGTAGAATGGGAAGGCCAGATGGTGTTATACTCTACACTTCTTCCTCTCCATTTGCATCAGTATCAGATATTGACTGATGAACAGTTAATTTGATAGTAATTGGTCTGATACTCCTATTGGGCCATTACTTACATCAGCGAAAACTTGGAGATTTGGTGCTTTTAGTATTGAAAATTAAAATTTCTGGCTAATTAACAACATTGCAAAAACTTTTGATGAAATAATATAGTTTTGGATTGTTGTAATTCCAAACACGGCATATACATAAGTTGTAATTAGAGAACATGATATCAAATAAATATTGTATTTCAGAATTGTGATATATTAAAAAGTTGTGATTGGAACCGTACAATCAAGTAAATATCGCATTGTAAAACTATAATTTTTTTTACATATCGTGTTACCACCAACAAAAAATTAGTAGCCAGATCTCCCCCTTTATCCTACATGTTTGAAGGGTTCATGACACCTATAAATCCAAGAACCTAAAAATTGCAATAGTCATAGCTTTGATTTACTCATATTTAAATTTAAAGTTATCAGATTAGATTAGGATATTTTAAATTTGAATTTGTTTGATTTTTTTCTATTTAAGTAAAAATCTAAGCTATGAAAAAACTTATGGGAACTTTCTATTAAGTCATAGGAATATTGGACAACCTCGAATACTCCTTTATGAAAATACTTAAACAACCTCGAATATGTTCTAAAAATATTTTTTATCTTTTGTTAATTGGATTTTTACAAGTAAATTTTTTCAAATTCAATAAAATTGTTATTGTTATTTACCTGAATTATTAGATTTGTTATAATTGATATCATAACAATAAATTCATAGTAGAAGGAACAAGAATGCCATAACTTATTGAAGCAATTATACAATTATACATATAGATAAACAATGATCTGATATAAATGCAAATCAATGGCGTCATGACTATCTCAGTAAAGTGTAAAGACTCTAGCTTGCTTTGTTGTCATCCTAGGATAAATTTCTAGATCCAATCGCATTCACATTAACAATTGAGTACTCACTCACTACACCATAATGGTGATATTTTTTTAAAAAAAAAAAGTTGCTAGATTCCTTTTACCATGGCGTCATGACTATCTCAGTAAAGTGTGAAGACTATAGCTTGCTTTGTTGTCATCTTAGGATAAATTTTCAAATCCAATCGCATTCACGTTAGCAATTGAGTACTCACTCATTACACCATAATGGTGATATTTTTTTTAAAAAAAAAAAGTTGCTAGATTCCTTTTACCTTAAAATTATGTGAACCATACACAATGGAATGAGTTCATGTATTTTAGTAATTCATGAAGAATAAAAATAAAATTTTTCATGTTTGATATTGTAATAATTTTTATAATTACAATTTAAAAATTATAAGTTTAATATTCTCAAAAATAAAATTATTTAGTATTTGAATATAAAATAATCACATATTTAAGTAAATATTTTCTTATTTAAAACTCAGAAAATAGATGATTGATAGTATAAAGCTCAACATCTGCAAAACAATTTTTTTTAGTGGGGTTTAGAGAATCTCAAATGATAAAATTAGTAATTTTTTAGTAAAAAATTAGAATAAATAAAAGAATAATCTATATATTCTAGGAATAAAAGTGCTTTTTTATATAATAAATTTTTTAAAAACTAAAAAAATCATGAATTTTTTATTTGATTGATTCAAGTAATATTTATAGTTTCTGAATTTTATACTATTATTTAAATAAAAAATTATTTTTTCTTTGCAGCATTAACATATCTAATCTTTCTCCATACTTGAAAGAAGAGGATGGAAAATCATGATCTGGTCTTGCCACTGCAAACAACAGAGAAAAGAAAAGTGACTTTCAAATGAATTTGGATCGTATAAAATCATTTTAAAACAATGGGTGTTAAAAATTACCAGTCCAAGGAAAGGAGAGGGCTCCGGTTCAAAAAAGTTAGTGCCCAATATGAGAGCACTTGATCTCGAATGCCAAACAGAATGATTAGTTTCGCAGAAATAACCAGGGCGTTTGTCATGATGACTCTCATACAATTGACTGCTTTCCCCTTCCTCGAGAAAATCTATACCACTACAGCTTCAAAGGAAAATCTTCACATGCTTTCCCCTTCCAAGGTATTGCTTTGTCCTATGTACCTCACGATGCATCGATAGCCAATGCTCTTTAAAATTCTAATGAACTCAGTCACCAGAGGAGAGAAAATTTATCACAATTTGGAGATCGGATTTCCAAATTCCAATCAACGACTGCAATAAAATAAAACTGGTATCGGGTTAGAAAGGCAAATTGTTAGGAAAATAAACGATACGTCCCTTAATTAGCCCAAATGACCCAAAACCAACTTGCCTGATGCTAGTTCAATGACCCAAAACCAACTTGCCTGATGCTGGTTCCTCCCTCTACTTTTGAGCACCCCTGCAATGCATTGGATTTTGCTTTGGGCATGAAAACGAAAGAGAATGTATCCCTGAACAAACAGGACTATAGTCAATCAGAAAAATGCCAGTTTCTGCACAAAAATCAAGTGTAGAATGGTTTTGGTTACTGCTATTATGATTTGCTTTATTAGCTGCAAATTGACGACTGTGTGATAAATTGAGGTTGAATGAGAAAAATTAACCGAGTTCATAGTCTATAAAAGTTCCCAGGTGCAGAAAAAGAAAAAAACGAAGGAAGTGTGATAGGATACCGAAGTAAATCAAAGTATTTTGTTGTCAGGGTGCCATCATGTCTACGAGGACTGAAATTGTGATCTGTTATAGGATGACTTTTGAGCTTTGACTGCATATGTCGTTTTTGGTGTTGGTGCCAGAAGACAGTACACGACAGTAATCCTCTCCTCCTTTCCTCTTGTTGGGGCCTCGACGTTCTTCTTCTGTAACTCTTTTCTGGCGTGCTGGTCTCGGTGTAAATATAATTCGGACTCGGCAATCTCGAGAAATGACTTCTCGGTTATTTTATCAAGGAAATCAATCGACATCAGTAAAATTGTTCTCACGTCAAAAAGAAAAGAAAAGGTAATATTGCTCTTGATTTCCGAAAGCAGACTCCCCACCACGGTGCGATTCTCTCCTCCCTCTATTTCGAGTGCTTTGCTTGCGCATGCTGTGTACGTATGAAGACCCAGCTGAGTTAAGTCCAATGGCCTGCTTGATCAGTGCTATTTTAATGAATTAATATAAAATCATTTACTAGCTTAATAATTTAAGTTTTTAAATTTAAAATTTTATTTAACATGATATTAAAATTTTAATAATTAAATAATTACAAATTAGAATATCATAGTGGTGTATGTATAGATTTTAATTTAAGTATGGTTTGCTTGTTAAATTTTTTTTTCTATAAAACATTTTTCTGACTCTAGTTTTTTATAACAGAAAAATATAAGATTTAAAGAGTTTAAAAGGTTTTCTAATTCAAGACAGTTAAAACCACTTTTACATGCAGAAACACAACACTTTATTATTTAAGTATATATCAACGTTGTATTTTAATAAAATAATTTCGAAATAAATAATATTATTAGAAAATAATAAAATATAGTGCAAATAATACATTAGGATACATAATTATAAAATATTTATTAAAAGTTGTATTAATTTAATATATCAGTGTATATAATGTTTTACTTTATACAATATTGGTATAAAACACATTGAAATTGCATGTTATGCTATACAATAATCATATATAATTAAATAGAATATAAAATAAAATATTTTCAAGAATCATCAAATAGAAAAAAATGTTATGGCACTGTTTTAGAAATACTACTATTTAAAAAAAATATTGACCTGGAAACACTTTTTTTCAACTTAGTTTATACCATAAAATAGTTTTAACTCAATTTTTATTATACAATCAGATATTAAAAATAATCTCATGAAATTCACTTTTCAAAAAGAATTTATTTTCTGACAAACGAGGCCTTGAATTACACGGTAAAGCTATTTTTTTTTTAATGACATTAAAGAATAGTTTCTTTTGTTAACAGTCAGTGTTACTCCAACGCAAGGTATTTGTCAGTGCCGTTCCCTGGTCATATTGTCTATTTGCTTTGCTAAAAAACTCAATAGCGTAAACTGTCATATATTATAATAAATTATAAGATGTAATTTATATTAATTTTTAATGTATTTTTAAGTAAGAGTTATTGGTATTTAAAATTTAAATATATTTAATTTTTATTAAATAAATGAAAATAATGAGATTCAAACTTGTAATTATTTGGTTATTAAATTTTTAATATTATATTAAAATATCATCTCAACTCAATAATTTAAATTATTAAATTAAATTTTATATTATTATCTAACATGTTTAATTTTAAAAAAATTCATGCTATTTATTAAAAAAAAACATCAGTTCTCCTCTTTTCTTTTTTTTCTAAATTTTAATAATTAAATAATTACAAATTAGAATATCATAGTGGTGTATGTATAGATTTTAATTTAAGTATGGTTTGCTTGTTAAATTTTTTTTTCTATAAAACATTTTTCTGACTCTAGTTTTTTATAACAGAAAAATATAAGATTTAAAGAGTTTAAAAGGTTTTCTAATTCAAGACAGTTAAAACCACTTTTACATGCAGAAACACAACACTTTATTATTTAAGTATATATCAACGTTGTATTTTAATAAAATAATTTCGAAATAAATAATATTATTAGAAAATAATAAAATATAGTGCAAATAATACATTAGGATACATAATTATAAAATATTTATTAAAAGTTGTATTAATTTAATATATCAGTGTATATAATGTTTTACTTTATACAATATTGGTATAAAACACATTGAAATTGCATGTTATGCTATACAATAATCATATATAATTAAATAGAATATAAAATAAAATATTTTCAAGAATCATCAAATAGAAAAAAATGTTATGGCACTGTTTTAGAAATACTACTATTTAAAAAAAATATTGACCTGGAAACACTTTTTTTCAACTTAGTTTATACCATAAAATAGTTTTAACTCAATTTTTATTATACAATCAGATATTAAAAATAATCTACTTTCTTCGAAATTGCTTTTCATGAAATTCACTTTTCAAAAAGAATTTATTTTCTGACAAACGAGGCCTTGAATTACACGGTAAAGCTATTTTTTTTTTAATGACATTAAAGAATAGTTTCTTTTGTTAAGCGTTGAGATTAAAACGAAAACAGTACTGTTAACAGTCAGTGTTACTCCAACGCAAGGTATTTGTCAGTGCCGTTCCCTGGTCATATTGTCTATTTGCTTTGCTAAAAAACTCAATAGCGTAAACTATCATATATTATAATAAATTATAATATGTAATTTATATTAATTTTTAATATATTTTTAAGTAAGAGTTATTGGTATTTAAAATTTAAATATATTTAATTTTTATTAAATAAATGAAAATAATGAGATTCAAACTTGTAATTATTTGGTTATTAAATTTTTAATATTATATTAAAATATCATCTCAACTCAATAATTTAAATTATTAAATTAAATTTTATATTATTATCTAATATGTCTAATTTTAAAAAAATTCATGTTACTTATTTTCTTTTTTTTTCTCTCCTGTTTTTCCGTATCAGCAATTATATTGTTTATTTCTTTCTTTCTTTATAACCTTGATATAATTGAGTATTAAAAAATAATTTATTTTAAATGAAACCATTTTGTAATTTTCGACAATTAAAGGATAATTTATTTTGTTGGTAACAATTATCGTAACTCCAAAGCAAGACATTTGTCAGCACGATTCTCCCTTGTTTTATTGTCTGCTTGCCTCTCCCTGGAGAAAATCCATGCTACTCGTTAAAAACAAATCATACAATACCCTCTAATTAAGGTTTAAAATTATAGTGGAGAGATAAATTAAAATAAAAGGGACCATAATGTAGAATAAAAAAATTATCAAAGTTTATAAATTTTTTATTTTGATTAAAAAAATTCATCTTGTTTAGTTTTCAATTCATGGTTTTAAGATAAGAGGGGTAAAGTATAAGAAAACTACAATAAAAAAGAAAAAGTTGGTAGTTAGCCACATTATGATAATTAAAATGACTGATTTTAGTGTTAAATGATTTAATTTGATGAGAAAACAATTTTTTTTTCCTATAAACATGGCTAAAAAGATAAATCAATGTCCATTTAAATCTTTTTGATTTAATTTATATTTACCTTTTAGATTAATTTTAGAATGTTTTTTGATTAATGAGTGGTTTATAGAGGTTTCATGTGAAAATAGGTGAAAAATTGATTTTTCAAGTCAGCTCCCATCCCCTGGTTTTACGGGCAATAACCTAGCAAGTGACTTGCCACCCAATATTTTTTTAGAAAAAGAGAAAAAATAAGTGGATGACCCATCATCCACTATTATAAAAAAGTAAGCATGTCTGGAGTTAAAAGACTAATTAATTATTTTTTAAAACTAATTCGTCTAACATAACATTAACTCATTTTTCTAACATAAACAGCATATATGCAAAAACAAAATGTTTATGTTTTTAATTAAAAAAATCATTATATTTTAAAATGTACGTGCATCACCAGTACAATTTTCCATTACATTCAAAATTAATTTGAAATTTTACCAGTGAGTGATAAAACTAATTATAACTGTATTTTAAAATAGAAGACCAATTAATTATTTTTTAAAACTAAAATAACTATTTAATTCATTTTACAAAATTACTTGTACTAATTTATAATTTACTCAATATCAAATGGTCTAGAGCTGAAAAAAGAAAAAGCCCAATAAAGGCCCAAATACAGCAAACAACCAAGATTCAAGGGCGCCAACAAGTCATTTCAAAACTTTAACGCTGCTCTCTCTCCTGCTCAGTTGGCTTTGGCAAGAACAGCGGATGGAGTGCTGTTCCACTTTCTCAATGTGACACACAAACACAGGGCACTCAAAAATTCCGATGCTTCCTCCTCACACTCATGCCCTAACCTAATTCCTTCTAATTAAAATATCTCTCCTCCAGATAAGTGTCTTCGTTCCTGTCTTCTCCTCCCCAAACTGCTCCTCTCCTTGACGGAAATGCCGTTGAGATCCGGCCATGGACAGGGAGGCTAACCTTCCTCTCCCATCTCTACCTCCGCCAAAAAATCTCGTTCGTCCGGTCACCAACGCCGCTGACACGACTTCATCTTCGTCCTCGTTCTCTTCCTCCTCCTCCCCCCCGGACTTTCTCCGGCCTGTCCACGCCGCCTTCAAGCGCCACCGCCCCCTCGGTACCACCACCCCTATCCGTAACTTTTTGTGCTTTCGATCGCTCTAGATCTCGCTTTTACCAAGAAGTTCTGAAAATTAGGGTTTAAAATTTGGCACATTCATTAATTTATTTATCTATTGTTATTCACTATAAAATGAAATTAAGGCTTAATCCAGGAATGCTGATTGCTATGTTCACGATTGTGTTAATTAATTTGGAATCAACTTCTTCATCGTGAAGTCAAGTTCGAAGATCTTTTTTTTTTTTAATTTGTGACCAGAATACTTTAATTATGGCTTTTTGAAAGTTAAATTGTAATATATGTTGAAGTTCTAAGTGTTTGGCATGCTCGTTTTAGGTATAATGCAAACGAATAATAGTATAAAGCCTAGGCGTACGTTGATTCCACAGCGTGAAGCATCGAGAACCGTAGCTTCAAATGTGGATCCTACTACAGGGACGCAGAAGTCTCAAGATGTTGTTCCTCCAAGCAAAGATTCAATTTTGCAAACAAAGAATCCAGTTGCTGTTATTAGGGAAACTCATGAAGATGCATCTCCGTTTCCAGGAACCATAACAAAGACGTTTGATGAGAGTTTCAATTCGTTTGATGGACAGAGAGAGCAACCAGAATCTGTTATTGCTACTAAAGAGGATAATCAGGTGCCCCTGACATGTGTAGAATCTCAACTTGTTGAGGGTAAGAGAAAAGTCCAGTTTTTGACAGTGAACAAGGCCACTTCCCAGGGTAATATACTGCTCCTTGCTTTTTTGAGTGATCGTTTGAAAGTTGGTTTTGTTGGATTACTTGTTGTTTGTCATCTAATCTAAGATGCCGTGGAAAAAGCTTTTAAATTTTGTACTCTGGAAATGTATATATGTACTGTTATCTTCTAACTTGCAGGGGCCGATGATGGAATGGCCACTGGATTGGAGAACTTGTCTTCTCATATGGGTTCACTTGCATTGACAGAAATGGAATGGGATGTGAGCAATCAATTAGAGGTGTCAAATGTGATTAATGATGAAACGAAGCAGCAGAACTTTCAGAACATGGAATCAGATGTCACTTCGAGATCTGATGGAGCTGTAACATCACTGGCCAAGAGAGCAGTGGTTGTTCAGGATCAGTTGCATCAATTGAGGAACTTCTTAAACCAACCAGCTACTCTATCATCTGTTGTTGGTCCATCTTGTGCTACCACAACATCTGTTCATTCTACTTCGGCACCCATGCTTAACTCAACGACTTATTGCTCTCGTCTACATGCAGAGGGTGGTTCTCAAGCTGCTGTCGAACCTTTGAGGGATTCTAATGCAAATTCTCAGCATGTAACTCCAAGGAATTTGGAACAGCTGTCACATCCTTTATTGAAGGACACAAGTGCTATGCTAATTGACCCGAGAGCCACTGCAACCCAGCCTTCTACCTCTGCTATTCATTCCCAATTTAAGGAGCTTGACCTGCCTAAGGAGCAAAAGGCAAGCATGCCTGAGGCACATGACATTGCAAACAATCCTTCTCTTGTTGATAAGCCCGCTAAGGAGAGAGGACCCGCAGATGGTGGTACTGATGTCCAATCTCAGCGTCCAATGTCCAGAAACCCATCTTCAAATGTGAAGTTGGAGCCTTCTAAACCAGAAAACAGAGAAAAGGTTGCAAGCAGCAAAGGCACATCTGTACCTCGGAAAAGGAGTTATGATCCAGATTTGTTCTTTAAAGTTAATGGGAAGCTCTATCAAAGGCTTGGTAAGATAGGAAGTGGAGGAAGCAGTGAGGTTCACAAAGTCATTTCATCAGACTGCACAATCTACGCACTTAAGAAAATCAAGCTCAAGGGTCGTGATTATGGAACTGCATATGGTTTTTGTCAGGAAATTCTTTATCTAAACAAATTAAAGGGGAAGAACAACATTATACAGTTAATAGATTATGAGGTACTCACTTGCATCCTTAAAAGAATCATGCTCTAAATGATATGATTTAACTGGGGCAATCATGTTTGCAATTTACTCAAACTCTATACCTTGTGGTTGTACGTATGTTCTTCGAGATAACATTATAGAAGACGATAAATCTTCTGTGCCTGAAGAATAGGTCTTTTATATTGATGTTCTCTTTTCTTCTCATCAGAACCCATATCTTAAATGCTCGACATCAATTCTTGATTTATTCATCTACTAGATCTCTAACACTCTCTTTTGGAATTAGGTGACAGATAAAGCTTTGCTCCATGAAGTCATGAGTAGCTCCATAAGTAATAAAGATGGAAGAGTTAAGGATGATGGGTGTATATACATGGTCCTTGAACATGGGGAAATTGATTTGGCTCACATGCTTGCCCAGAAATGGAAGGAGATGGATAGCTCCAGCCAGACGATAGATGAGAATTGGCTTAGATTTTACTGGCAGGTTCTGGCTTCACCTGGCCTTGCATCATAGTTGCAGTTTAATTTATATTAACACTCTATAGCTATTTCTCATATTACAGATTGACAGCTATAGCTACTAATTCAGACGTCAGTTTTTAATGCTAGAATGAAGTCATTTTGAACAGTGGGGAGCATTTTGTCTGTCTAAAGGAAGCACTGTAATGATGCTCCTGTTTTCATTATTGGGACTTTGTCTGCATCACGGGGTGGATAAGTTTCTGATTTGGCATGATGTTGATTATTGGCATTTTTTCATTTGCCATCTCTCTCATAGTTTGTATGGAAGGGGATTTGGCATGGATGAGGAAACACACTTGTTTATATGAGCAACGCAACGTTGTCTTCATATGATACTAACAAATAGCAAATTTACATCATCTTGAAAACACACAGAATTTGTTGGTCTAAGGCATAATTTTTTGTTTTATTCGTTGTTATTTGAATGGCAGTACAGATTGACATTGTTTTATTCAAATATTTTGCAGCAAATACTTCAAGCTGTCAATACCATTCATGAGGAACGTATTGTGCACTCTGACCTGAAGCCAGCAAATTTTCTTCTTGTCAAAGGTTCTCTGAAGTTGATTGATTTTGGTATCGCCAAAGCCATAATGAGTGATACCACTAATATTCAAAGGGATTCACAGGTAGACTTTACTTATTCCTTGTATTTGGTTTTCCAAACTATTATTAGATTTAGAAGTATGATTGCATCAGGAAGCAGATTCCACCTTGTATGTGCCCTTCTGTTGACTGACCACATGTTGCCAGCTAAGAACACGCCCTTCTTTTGTTCTGTGTATTTTTGGATGAAGAGGATTGATTAATTGTCAATTTAGCTTATTTAAGAGGTTCTTTAGTTAGTATTATTTTGCTTGGTGGTTCATATTCTGTTTCTGCAGGTAGGTACCCTGAGCTACATGTCTCCAGAGGCATTCATGTGCAATGAGAATGATGCGAATGGAAACACCATAAAGTGTGGTCGACCATCAGATATTTGGTCCCTTGGCTGTATCCTTTACCAAATGGTGTATGGAAGAACCCCCTTTTCTGAGTTCAAGACTTTCTGGGCCAAGTTCAAGGTTATAACAGATCCAAACCATGAGATAACTTATGAGCCAGTTTCCAATCCATGGCTTCTTGATCTTATGAAAAAATGCTTGGCTTGGGACCGGAACGAGAGGTGGAGAATCCCTCAATTACTCCAACACCCTTTTCTTGTTCCACCAGTACCAACTCAACCATCAGTATCTCAGAAACAAGGTTGTAAACTGCTTCAACTTGTCTCAGAAACTTGTAGCGGTGACCAAGAAGCTTCTGTGCTATGCCGTGAGCTCCAACAACTGCTTAACCCAGGTACTTTCACACCTGAGTCATTAACATCGCGAGACCAACAATGCAAGTTGCTCTCCCAGATGTCTAAGCTTTGTTTTCAGCTCCGGGAGTGTTTAGCAAAGTTGGAGAGAGGATAGGAATGGTTTCAGGTAGTCAACTCTGGGAAGGTCTTCTTCTCGTTTCGGACTATGAGAGATCTTGTCCGTCCACTGTAAGGTGTACACATCCCTGTTGTTTAATTATGCCTTCAAACAGAAGAATTGAACTCCAATTCTTTACTTGTATGCATCTCCTTTATGAATGCGCGCAGCGCGACAATGGATGTGTAATCTTTCACTTGCTTTGCGCATCTTCTATGTAAGATAGCACAGTACTGACATGATGTTCTATAACGATAAATAATACTAAAAATAACAAAAACAACCTGGTGGCGGAAAACCTAAATTAACTCCTGTGTGGTAACTTCAGGATTTTTGCCCAAAATGATTCCCCCCCTCACTGGTATTGTTTAGAATACTTTGGCTCATGCAAATGCGAGTTCCTGGAATGGTAGGGTACTTATATCATACTCGATGTGAGAAGAAAAACTGCCTGCTCCTGCGATTTTGTTTTTTTCCAAACTATAGTGGCGGGAGCAATTTGTACGGGTTTGCCGGGGTTCCCTTGTGCCGGTGAATCTTTGCGTCCTACTACTGATTGATTATGGAAGGCAGTAGAAAAGGAACGAAGCCGGTTGTGAGCTCCATGATTGATTACCTCCTATGACTGTATTAACTGAATGCTTCCATTAAGGAAGTTGACGAGGGCAAATCGTATCGAAGGAATGACAGTAATTACATTTTGCAAATTTCTACAAAGGTAGAGTCTAACCATCAAAAGAATAGAAGGCGCAACATACTTTCGCTTATCCTTCTCAAGCAGGAGAGAGACAGACAGCGATGCAACTTCCAGTCTGATATCTGAAGATCATACACAAACACAGTTATTCACTCCTCATTTTTTCCATTTTATTGAAAGAAAAAATAATAGATGGAAGAACTAGCCGCTTGTATCTGCTAGTTGGGTAGAATTGTAAATATCTTACACTGGAGAGTGTAGACGATTCCAGTATTATTTTAAATTTAAATATTTAGTCTCACCTTCCCTTCCCTTCCCTTCCCCCAATTTTCACATTCGCAAACATGCCTAAAACTTTGGGCTATGTAATTTCTTTTGTCATCAAAGACCTCTCCGCCGTTCCTACTGCGAATAACGTGTCGCGTTTATAATCCAACGGCTCCGAAACGTCAGTGACAACAAACTTTAAGCACCTGCTGTTCCTATAACACGTGTTGTGTTCTCCGCTAGCTAAACTTCTAACTCAGTAGAGAAAGAGGTTTTTTACGACTTGAATTGGACCCCAAGAGTGCGGAATCTAGCTAATGCCAGAAAAACTTCTCTCGCGCTTCTCTCGCGCTTCATTCACGCTTCCTCACCTGCGTTTTCTGTCTCCACGAGCTTCTCTCTCGCTCCGCTCTCTACATAACTTCATTGCTCCTACAAGCCAGAAAAGCCCACTCACTCTATCTCGATCAGTTGCAGCCGCTACAGGTACGTGTCAGATGCCTTCACCTTTCTTGACAACTGGAAATGCTTTTAAATCTTGATTTGTTGTTGCTGTTGTTGTTTTGGTTCAGCAATGGATAGCAGCACCAGCAGCACGCCTTGTAAGCTGGTATTATGCGGAAAATCATCTGCAGAGAATGAAATTGCTAAATCATTAATGAATAATAACAATCTTAAACTGCCTGATAATGTGCAAGTCTCTATTCTCTTGCACTCGGAGATTATTAATAAGCAGCAGCGGCAAGACGAAGAGTCTTTCTGTATTGAACGGTTTATGAATTCTCTTTCAACTAATCGATTCGGTAGATTACTCATCTGGTCGCCGATATTGCCTTCAACTCATGATGTTGTTTCCAAGTAAGAATCTCCAATTTCAATTTTCCGATTTTTTTTCGTGTGTATAATAAATCCAGATGCTTAATTTTTTTTCTTCCTTTTGACAGTAATTTTGGTGAGCTTCCAATTGGTACTGTTTGCGTTGCTGATGTTCAATATAAAGGGCGAGGTTTGTGAAATAAATTTCGTGCTGTGATTTCGGATTTCCAATAATCAATAGTTATAACTTTGTATGTTTGATTGTGCAGGTCGATCAAAGAATGTGTGGGAATCTCCAGCAGGTTGCCTGATGTTTTCATTTACCATTCAAATGGAGGATGGACGAGTTGTGCCTTTGTTGCAATATGTAGTATCTCTTGCTGTTACAGAGGCAATAAAGGATGTTTGCGACAAAAATGTTAGTTTTTTTTTTATTTCCCTTCTTAATTGAAGGTTGTTGCCAGTCATTAACTAGTTATAACCTTGCTCTTTCTTATTTGATATCTAAATATCGCTTACTTAGTGATGTTTACTTGACAAGAGAACATAATGACTTAAACAAGTAAATTAGTCAAGTTGCATTGAGATTATGTGATCTTAGAGAACGAAGTACTAGTAACTCATTACGTTGGTGTGTGAAAAACATAAGTTTTTAAAGAATTTTCACCTGATAGTGTCTGATTGAAAGGTGGCTTGTGGCTGCTTTACCCATCAATGCCATGCATGATTGTTTTATTGCAATTTTTCAGCCAGCCAATATGTGAGTTTTGAGGTTTGATTCACTCATTTGGGAGTATATGATTTATTTCAGGGCTTACCGCGCATTGATGTTAGAATCAAATGGCCAAATGATCTTTATTTGAATGGTCTTAAAGTTGGAGGCATTCTCTCCACCTCAACATATAAATCAAAGAAGTTCAATGTCAGTACCGGTAAGTATAATTCTTTTTCTGTGATCTGCAATTGTTTTCTGATGTTCACACTTCCACATTGCTAACTGGCTACTTTGTTTATTCTTTATCACTTGTTCTCTATAATCCAAATCATAGAGAAGGTTGGTTCTAAGTTTGCATGTATGATACAAATAATATAGCATCACAATCTTGCAGGTATAGGCTTGAATGTCGATAATGAGAAACCAACAACATGCTTGAATGCAGTCTTAAGAGAATTGTCTGCTGCTGCATGCACATTAAGAAGAGAAGATATTGTTTCAGCCTTTCTAAATAAATTTGAAATTTTTTATGATCTTTTTATAAATGGAGGTGAGCCAATACTTTTTGAAAAGTCATGTCCATCATCAATATGTCATCTCATTTATCAATCATTCTGTAGAAATGTTATCCAGACATGCCAACCTTCTTTGGTTTTATCATGTTGAAAGTTGAAACTATCATTTTCTTGTAGCTATTAACTGAGTTTATTTCCAGATAAATTCATTTGATAAGGGCCCATACTTGAAATGTTTCCTTAGAAATCCTGCTAGGTTAAAAGGCATGTATGTCTATGCATGATTATTCCAGTTGTTTCTTGAAGGTATGCTTGCCACTTAACATCATAAAAGGAAGAGAATTAACACCTTGGTAACTTAAATTTAAGGATTATTGGATATAGGATGAAAAAAAGAAGAAGCTAGCCTGGAAATTTTAATATCTGTTAGTCAAACTTTCGAGGAGATAGAACTTCGTTACAGAAGCTCAAATGATTGTTTTTGAGATTTATTTATAGCTTCATGGCTTCATCCCCTCCCATCTCCCATTGCATTTGTGGAATAGATTTTTATTTTAGCTCTACGGTTATCTTTTTTATTCTTCCCCTTGGATACTTGCAGACTAGTGTGCTTGGTTTTTGCTGCTTTTAATTCTTGTATTACTTACATATTGTGGGATTTAGGGGTTTTCTTCAAATTTCTTCCAGATATTTGTTTGTTGTTCCCCAGCCTGGTAAAGCACCAGCTGGAATAGGCTTTATTCAGAAATCAGAAAGCATTGCAATGAGCTATTCTTATTAAGCTCTCTAAGATAGATTGAGGGTGCTGATTTGATACTTTTCAACTAGTCACGGAATGCACATGCTAATTCTTAACCAACTGCTTCATGTAGATCTGCTTGAATCAGCTCGAGGGATTTTATAATGGTAGGATAATGGATTGAATTTATATGGTTTATTAACATGAATGGTGAAGTTTGATAGCAAAAGGGTGAAGATTTGATGGCTTTTTTTTTTTTTGGATCCCCAGACTCTACTCATTTGTCCCTGGTTAATCTTATATGGAAGGGCTAGATACACTCTAAGGTTAAGTTTTTTGTTCGGTTAGTTCTCAAAAACATAAATTCCAATGACTTGTTACAAGTTACTAATTGTGTTGATGTTGTTTCCTTCTCTCTTTTCATAGCTGCATCAGAAAATTCTTTAGAAATAGCAGTTTGTTTCTAGTGACTTTTTCCACTTCTCTTGTCAAACTAATTGTATTACTTATGATAATAATAATAATAACAATAATGCCATGTTCATTCTTTCTTTGTGTTTTTTTTCTTTTTTTCTTTTGGCATGCCATCCAGGATTTCAAACTCTCGAGGAGCTTTACTATAAAACATGGCTACACAGGTAAGACATACTTTTTTTTTTTCACTCTTCGTGGTTTAACATGATTCCCTCTTTGTTATGTTAATGATTTCATTTTCTGGGTGTGATTGTTTACTTTATCTAATGTAAGGGGCACTGGAAATGTTTATAATTGGTTAAGGTTGATGTTCATTCAAATCAAAGATGTTTTATCGGTTTCTCATCTCATCACTTCCTCTGAAATTTTATGTCCATACAAGTTTTGAGGGAGATAATCTTCAAGATACGTAGCACAGGAGGTCCATCATCTCCTGTTATTTCTGTAGCCATGAAATGTATTGAGGTATCGAAGTTTTAGATTACTTTTTTTATGAATTCCTTGCACCTGAGAATGGTGCTTGGCAAACCTGAAAACAATTTGACAGAAATTAAAAGGGAAAAAAATCACATTCTAGTTGCCGTATGGAAAAGGAATATGGTTTCACACACTTTGCTTCAGCTAGGATGATGTGGTGTTCAAACCAATGAATCATCTGTTATCTTCTCAGTAATGTCCCTGTTTCAGCTGCTCACATTATTATTGGCCTTTGGATGTGTTGACCTTACAAGTTTAACTGGTTAATTTCCACAAATCTTTTCTATCAACTATTTTCTCATCCCCTACTCAATATTCTCACGTGTTTTGATTCCCAATTCTTTTTTTTTTTTGGTTTTTACTGTTTGCACATCGCCAGATTTCTATTCGCTCTGCTTTAAAAATTCCTCATATTGAACTAGATAACTGCTCAACTTTCTGTGCTATAAGACAGCTGATCTGACATGTTAAAACTGTTTAGACAAGCATGTTTCAGCGATTTGTTTTCTGGGAACACCTTTCACTAATTTGCAAAATTTTAATTTTTTT